CAAAAACACCCATCTGATTTAAAGACATCGGAAGGGCAAGACCTGATAGATGGAAACCCTAATAGAAGTAAAAACAATGACAATGTAAAAGACAATGTAAACAAAGACAGATTAAACCGTGACAATTAAAAAAAGCAGATGTAAAACCTGACAGAGTAAGACCATACAGATGTAAAACAATGACAATGTAAGACCAAAAAGAGTAAACAATGACAGAATAAGAATGACGATTAAAACCATGGAGATGTAAACAATGACAGATGTAAAAGAAAATTGTAAAACCATGCAGATTAACCCAGAAATGCAAAACCAAAAGAGATGAAACCATAAAAAATGTAAACCAAAATTTTAATGCAAGAAATGACAGATGTAAGACCATACAATGTAAGATCAAAACATAGGGCCCATGCAATGTAAGACCATAATAAATGAAAAAAGTGAGGAAATGTAAACCATAACAGTTAAAGACCAAATAAGGAAAGACAGTGACGATGTACGACCGCAACAGATGTAAGACCACAATTGTGCAATATTATAACAGATGTAAGATCACAATTGAAAGCAAGATTATAACAATGTTAGATCACAATTGTAGCAAGATTATAACAGATGTAAGATCACAATTGTAGCAAGATTAAAAACAGATGTAAGATCAAACTGTAACAAGATTATAACAGATGTAAGATCACAACGGGTAGCAAGTTTTATAACAGATGTAAGATCACAACTGTAAAAGATTATAACAGATGTAAGATCACAACTGTAGCAAGATTATAACAGATGTAAGATCACAATTGTAGCAAGATTATAACAGATGTAAGATCACAACTGTAGCAAGATTATAACAGATGTAAGATCACAATTGTAGCAAGATTATAACAGATGTAAGATCACAATTGTAGCAAGATTATAACAGATGTAAGATCACAATTATTGCAAGATTATAACAAAATGTAAGATCAAAATTTTGTAGCAAGATTATAACAGATGTAAGACCACAACTGTAGCAAAATTATAACAAATGTAAGATCACAATTGTAGCAATATTATAACAGATGTAAGATGGCAACTGTAGCAAGATTATAACAGATGTAAGACCACAATTGTAGCAAGATTATAACAGCTGTAAGATCACAATTGTAGCAAGGCTATATGTAAAACTATAACAGATGTAAGACCATAACTGATGTACGACCATAACTGATGTACGACCATAACTGATGTACGACCATAACTGATGTACGACCATAACTGATGTACGACCATAACTGATGTAAGACCATAACAGATATAAGACCACAACTGTAGCAAGACTATATATAAAACTATAACAGATGTAAGACCATAACTGATGTACGACCATAACTGATGTACGACCATAACAGATGTACGACCATAACTTATTGTATAAACCATAATTTGTTTGAAAGGGACTATAACAGATGTACGACTATAACTGATATACGACCATAACAGATGTACGACCATAACTGATGTACGACCATAACTGATGTACGACCATAACTGATGTACGACCATAATGATGTACGACCATAACAGATGTTAGACCATAACAGATGTAAGAGGATAACACACGTGAGAGCATAACATGTAAGAGACTAAGAGATGTTAGGTTATGACTAAGTAACATCGTAACAGATGTAATCAATAAGAGCTGAAAGATCAAGACAGATGTAACATCATACCAGTAGGAAGATTATAACAGTAAGAAGATCATAACAGTAGGAAGATTATAACAGTAAGAAGATCATAACAGTAGGAAGATTATAACAGAAAGAGATCAAAACCCAGTAGGAAATTTATAACAGTAGGAAGTCAAACAGTAGGAAGATTATAACAGTAGGAAGATCATAACAGTAGGAAGATTATAACAGTAGGAAGATCATAACAGTAGGAAGATTATAACAGTAGGAAGATCATAACAGTAGGAAGATTATAACAGTAAGAAGATCATAACAGTAGGAAGATTATAACAGTAGGAAGATCATAACAGTAGGAAGATTATAACAGTAGGAAGATCATAACAGTAGGAAGATTATAACAGTAAGAAGATTAAACAGTAGGAAGATTTAAACAGTAGGAAATTTTTAACAGTGGAAGATTATAACAGTAGGAAGATTATAACAGTAGAAAGATTATAACAGTAGGAAGATTATAACAGTAGGAAGATTATAACAGTAGGAAGATTATAACAGTAGGTAGATCAAAAACAGTGGGAAAGATTTTAACAGTAGGTAGTTTTAATAACAGTAGGAAATTTTAAAAACAGTAGGAAGATAAATAACAGTAGGAAGATCTTAACAGTAGGAAGATTATAACAGCAGGAAGATTATAACAGTAGGTAGATCATAACAGTAGGAAGATTATAACAGTAGGTAGATCATAACAGTAGGAAGATTATAACAGTAGGAAGATCATAACAGTAGGAAGATCATAACAGTGGAAGATTATAACGTAGGAAGATATAACAGTAGGAAGATCATAACAGTAGGAAGATTATAACAGTAGGAAGATTATAACAGTAGGAAGATCATAACAGTAGGAAGATTATAACAGTAGGAAGATTATAACAGTAGGAAGATTATAACAGTAGGAAGATTATAACAGTAGGAAGATTATAACAGTAGGAAGATTATAACAGTAGGAAGATTATAACAGTAGGAAGATCATAACAGTAGAAAGATCATAACAGTAGAAAAAACATAACAGTAGGAAGACCATAACAGTAGGAAGATTATAACAGTAGGATGATTATAACAGTAGGAAGATTAAACAGTAGGATGATTATAACAGTAGGAAGATCATAACAGTAGAAAGATCATAACAGTAGAAGATCATAACAGTAGAAAGATCATAACAGTAGGAAGATCATAACAGTAGGAAGATTATAACAGTAGGATGATTAAACAGAAGGATGATTATAACAGTAGAAAGATCATAACAGTTGAAAGATCATAACAGTAGGAAGATCATAACAGTAGGAAGATTATAACAGTAGGATGATTAAACAGAAGGATGATTTTAACAGTAGAAAAAATCATAACAGTAAGATCATAAACAGTAGAAGATTAAAACAGTAGGATGATTATAACAGTAGGAAGATCATAACAGTAGGAAGATTATAACAGTAGGATGATTATAACAGTAGGAAGATCATAACAGTAGGAAGATTATAACAGAAGGATGATTATAACAGTAGGAAGATTAAACAGTAGGATGATTATAACAGTAGGAAGATCATAACAGTAGAAAGATCATAACAGTACAAAGATCATAACAGTACAAAGATCATAACAGTAGAAAGATCATAACAGTAGGAATATTATAACAGTAAGATGATTAAACAGAAGGATGATTATAACAGTAGAAAGATCATAACAGTAGAAAGATCATAACAGTAGAAAGATCATAACAGTAGGAAGATCATAACAGTAGGAAGATTATAACAGTAGGATGATTATAACAGTAGGAAGATCATGACAGTAGGAAGATTATAACAGTAGGATGATTATAACAGTAGGAAGATCATAATAAATGCAAGATCCTAACAGTTGCAGGACCACAACAGAAGCGACACCATAACGGGAGCAGGACTATAACAGACGGTAGTGATGAGATTGCTGTTATTACTGGGAGATTCTCCCGTTACTCCACCATGGCTGGTGGCCGCTCCTCTCAAGCAAGTTAATAATATATATTTATTTACTATAAGTACATGTACAAGGTATACAGGCCTAGCTGACATCAATGACATACTACTATATAGAAAGCCGCTTGTTATACTGAGCATTTCGGACAAATTAGGTCAGTTTTGTCCCAGGATGCGACCCACACCAGTCAACTTAACTCCCAGGTACCCATGTATTAACTACTGGTGAGTCTAACTTGTGCCGAGTGAAGTTGTTATTGTCACATGCTTCCGTTGCTTTTCTGCTAATAGGCAAAACAGATCTGGAATTGAGTCGTTTTCATATATTTTAGTTCTTTCCTGAAGTTTAGCGTAAAGTGCATCTCAGATGTGTGGTTGTTACTGAATTACGTGTGGCGTGGCGTGTGTTTATGGCATTGTTTGAAGAATGGGTATTTTTTGGCATGATGTTGTCATATAGAGATGCTATTAATGTAGAGATTTTACCGCAAAAAAAAAAGAAAAAAAGAAAGTGAGAACAATGTAGAGGCTGTGACGTGGGAGTCGTGCTGCTGGCAGTGCGGTACGTGTCTTCTCCCGACATCTCCAATAGCTCCTCCCACTCTTACTCTCATTACCAACATTTAAATCTCTAATACATATTTTTTTTCATTAAAGTAATCACTTGCGTAAAATAGAAAACAACAGCAGTTATATTGGGAATGACTAAACAGAGGGATGGAGATAAATCGCAGTGTTTAACTTTATTGAAATATTTTAGGTTAATCCATGTAATGTGTTTTTTATGTGCCCATGACGTTTGTGTCCCCTTAATACAGCTGTAAAAAGAAATGTATGTTATGTGCCGGAAGCGTTAATAAACTTTAGTGCTTGCTGACGTACTTCCTACGATAGACAGTATAATAACCTATGTGACATGTCAAGATATCTTATTAATGAAAATAAGATACCATATATACTAAGCAAATTTCCTAAATTTGCTTGTAACAGATAAGTGAACTATAGATATGTAGATATAAATCCATATGTATTCATGTTAACCCTCTGGGGCCTAGTTCCTAGGCCTTTTGTGTATCCATATGCTCTCGCGCTACCGTCCACAGGATGGATATGGGCGGCACAATAAACTAGCCACTTCGGTGGCAAAATCTAAATCTTCCTACGATAACTCCAATGTAAACAGATCTAGTTCATTTATTTTTTTTTACTGGGTTATTATAGGTTACATTCTGCATAATGACCTATATAAAAACCATCGTAAAAATAAATTTACGTATAAAGCGTAAGTAGAAACTCAGTTATGAATGATGAGGCGACGTCTGGCAGGGATGTGGAGAATGTAAACAGTGGAGTTGAGACGTGGAGGAGGAGTGGAGGTGTTGTTGTTGCTGGAGTGGAGGTCTTGTTGGAGTGGAGGTGTTAGTGGTGGTGCTCGTCCTGTTAATACCACGACTACACATGACGTGCGTGTGCACTCAACCAGACACCACCTCAACACCGTACGTCAACCATACTACAGTGATTTATTGTGACGGTGTTACGTTTGTGATGTGTCTGGCCAGCGTGACGCCAGGCTTGTGTGCCGTGATCTGTCACTTGATCAGCTGTGCTGGTGACACTTCATACAGTGACCTCTCTCCCCAGGCACTTGATCAGCTGTGCTGGTAACTGTTAGTGCAGTGATATCTCTCCAGTCACTTAATCAGCTGTTCTGGTGACACTTGGTGATGCGATCTCTCTCCAACCACTTGATCAGCTGTGCTGGTGACATTGTTGCTAGAGTCATCTCTGTTCAACTTACATCTGTTATGGTCGTACATTAGTTGGTGACCCAGTTGATGTAGTGATCTCTTTCCAGTCACTTGATCAGCTTGAGGCTTACAGTGGGTACAGACAAATAATTAACATTGTAAGTCTAATGTAAAGACCTTAATTGTGTAGAGCATTTCAGGAACCAGTTGTGGTGGTGATGCTGTTGGTGTCAGTGGTGGCACCAGAATTTCTGTACTGGGGTGTTTAGGGTGGGGTAGGGGCTATCTGGTTGGAAGAGGGGCAAGTAGACTTCTTTTGAATCAGTATTACAATTACTATTTTACTGGGGGTGAGGAAACTTTCGGGACTCCAGGTATCGCAGACAATACACTCATATCATAACATAATATAGGTACAGACATGTATGTTCAGGGTCCCTGACCAGCACAATGTGATCAGTCATGAGGGTGCCTTCACCAAATTCGACTTTAATAACAAAAACATACAGTGGAATCAAGTCAACCATGTCCTAAATGAAACAAGCTGGGAAGATACCCTAAACAACATGGATCCAAACCTTTACCTAGAAAGAATTAGCTCTGTGGCACTTAGGGTATGCTCAAGGCACATTCCTTTAAGAAAAAGGAAGAAAAGATGTAAACTAGAAAGAGATGCTCCATATTCAGGTGAAGGTAAAGAGTCACAGAGCTGCTGAGAGGGGCCAGTATATCTGAAATACGAAGGAAGGCATTGGGCAGAGAAATAGCAAATGTCAAACTTAAGCTTAAGGAATCATATATGAGACAGGAAACTCATGAAGAGGTAAAAGCAATAAACAAAATTGAAAGAAACCCAAAATATTTCTTCTCTTATGCCAAATCCAAGGCAAAAACATCATTGAGTATTGGACCCATGCTTTATTATGCACCCCATACCCATTATGTGGATGGTAGTCAAAAGATTACAGAGGTACATAATGGGTCCAGGGACTGGGTAGCAAAGTTTTGATAGCTAAACAACTTAAAGTGGTAATGAACTATTTACATGTTTATATTTGGTCACAGTCGTAATGAGTTATTTATCCAGATAGGCTGTGGGAATATTTGGGGTGCTGAAGCTCCCCTAAACCCACTTTTGGTGCTGCTGCAGGTTGGTGCAATGATTTCTAGTTACTTGATCAGGTGTGCTGGTGACATTGTTAGTGCAGTTATCTCTCCAGTCACATGATCAACATAGATGATGATGTAGACATTAGGTGCTGGTGTCAAGGTGCTTGATCTAGCAGTTTCTCTCCTTGCAAGATCATTTTTCTCAGAACTTTAAAGTGCTCTACATTTCATTTCAGAATTTTGAGGAGATGACTTTTAACTGATGATGCCAAATAATTACAATTTAGTGTTGTGAGAGCAAAAGGGTATGTTGATATGCCCATACAAGAAGTTACAGCTTTTAATCCACAGACTGATTTAGATGACAATCTGTGGCTTTGTTTTCCTTAAAATTAAATCGATTTTGGTTGGCAATACTTTCCACTTACCCACCTGCCAATACATACTTGTATCTTTTTGAGTAAATAATTTTAAGCAACTAAAAATGGATTTATACTTCAGCTACTACAGTAGATTATATACTGTATATACTGTATAAAACTTTCATAAATAATCAATCAGAGTTCATTCCTATAAGCTTATAAAGCTGCTGATGACTGCCTTACTGCACTGGGAACACTATTATATCCAACATTATGAAGCAGGGAACTCAAACTGGAAACCCTGAAGCACTACTGTAAATTATTATTCCTTTTTTTAACACATCGGTCATTTCCCATGGAGGCAGGGTGACCCAAAAAGAAAGAAAAACCCAAAAAGAAAGAAAAATACTTTCATCATCATTCAATACTTTAACCATCACTCATATACAATCACTGTCTTTGCAGAGGTGCTCAGGTATGACAGTTTAGAAGTCCCTCCAAACTGCCAATATCTCAAACCCCTCCTTTAAAGTGCAGGCATTTCCATTTCCAGGACTCAAGTCCAGCTAACCGGTTTCCCTGAATCCTTTCACAAAATATTACCCTGCTTACACTCCAACAGCTCGTCAGGTCCCAAAAACCATTTGTCTCCATTCACTCCTATCTAACACTCATGCATGCTTGCTGGAAGTCCAAGCCCCTCGCCCACAAAACCTTTACCCTGTCCCTCCAACCTTTTCAAGGACGACCCCGACCCCGCATTTCCCTACAGATTCATATACTCTCCAAGTCATTCTTTCTACTTTGTTCCATTCTTTCTAAATGACCAAACCACCTCAATAACCCCTCTTCACCCCTCTGACTAATACTTTTAGTAACTCCACACCCACACCTCCTCCTAATTTCCACACTGAATTCTCTGCATAATATTTACACCACACATTGTCCTTAGACACGACATCTCCACTGCCTCCAGCCACCTCCTCGCTGCAGCATTTACAACCCAGGCTTCACACCCATAGAAAGAAAAGTGCTTAACCTGAGTAGGTCATATAGTGCTAGATTTGCTATAAAAAAATAATGGTATTTATATGTAAATTTTTGATCTGTAATAAATGAAGTAAAATGAAACCTGAGGTTGCACCACTTGAGGGAGGTTCCTTGATGCTGGTGAGGGACTCTTGACCCAAGGAATTAGATGAACTTCCTTTCCTTAGATTGAATCTGATTGCTTTCCATTATCCCCAGGTGCTGTATGATCCCTATGGGTTCGGAGCTCCCCCAAGAATAATAATACTATTATATTACATTAAGTACAGCCTCTCCTCACTTAGTGATGTACTCGTTTGCCAATGCCTTGGACTTACGATGGGCTCTCTGACCAGTATTCATACCTAAATAATGTACTGTATATTAGAGCTGATTTCCTTTATTCTGCTTATTTCAATATACAGCACACTACTGACGACGTACGTTAGCGTCACCGAGCTCTCAGTAGTACCATACCAGCAACCAGTTACCAGTGTCAGTAGTGACTCACTACCAACCGTCTGTGTGAATCACTTGTTATTCAATGTTACAGCTGACCTTAGCATGTTTTGAATGCCACTCACCCCTAGGAACCATCTCGTGAGGCAGTCGTAAAGATAGGGAGCAGAGAGGCTGGTCAGGCTTGGTGCTTCCCATATATTTCGTTTTTAATTATACTCCATTATTGCCTATGTGAGTATCCTTACCCAATCCACATTCCAAACCCTACGGGACAAATATACAGTACACTACTGTATAAACGTTTAAAAATATACCAAAAATGTTATAAATGGTGCAAAGATGACATTAAAACAATATCGAAGATGGTTGACACAAACTCGCTACCATTATAGCATGCTCCTCCCTTAGCAACAAATTTGTTCAATGATGTGGTCTCAGGAATGGAACTCCATTATTAAGTGAGGAGAGGCTGCACTATATTTTAATTAACTTTAAAAATTTTACTATTCATAATTGACTACATATATCTTACACACAACCATAATAGTTGCAGAAAAGTGACATTTATCCACCTGCTTCCTTATTATTTATTAGTTACCTGTTGTCAACACAATATAAATCTTCTTTCTCATTTACTCATTCATTTTCTTGGTGTCCTTATTACTTTTTCATGATTACAGTACAGTGATTAACATTTATCTATTTGTGGTACTCCATCATTTAAATGTTCCCTTAGTATGTGATTAGTGTACAGCTATACATTACATTCATTACTTGCATTGCTGATTTATTGACTTGTAGTTACTGGAGGTCATCTTTATATTAAGATAAAACAAAACAACCAGGAGCTAATTTTCATATAAGTGGCTTTAACTCAGTAGAGCACACCATTGTAAGAGAAGTCTTTAAGTCTTCCATACAAACTGTTTAACTTATGGTGCAGACCTGAAATACAAAGACCATTGTATAGGAAGTAGGTAATATGAAGTTAAAGTTTTGTTTCCTTGCTGTTGAAAATGACAGCTAATTCAGGTAAGCTTACATGTAAATTTAGGCAGATGGGATTCTTGTGTAATAACACTTATTTTGATTGTTATTCTTGAGACAGGGTATTTACAAAACTTTGTATAAGCAATATGATTCATTATTATCTGCAGAGCAGCTCTGCATAAAAAGTAGGATATATTTTTATATACAGTATTTGTTTCAGCTTTACCTATAGGATTGGCAGGCTGAGACCTAGAGCCTCAAAATCGAGGAGGCCTCTGGCCAAGGTGTATAATTTTTTTGACACGACTGTCAAAACCCTTTTCCCACACACTTCATAACACACGAGTTTTAAAACAACCCTTCAGTAATGTTCCTTGCACTCCATTTCAGAATAATAACTCGTCACTAGCATTGATTTTGTCCTTCCAGGAAAGCAGTGAGATAGATGAGTTGATTAAGGCCCTAGTTTTTGTACTCGAGTTAATGAGAGGGTTACCGGGCTTCAAGTAAAAAATTTTTTGCAAAAAATGGAAAAGGAATTTATGTTTATGCTGCTTTTTTGGATCTGTGTACTAGGTTATTTCCATTTGCACTTTCACTTGCATGTGACACAAAGCCAAAGACCTAGAGAAAAGGGGTCGCCGTCTCATACAGACCTTTACCAAATTATACAGTACAAAGAAAAAATTCAGATGGCCTTCCCAATGGGAACAATCTTGCGCTATTTCTAGTTTAAAAAGGCACTAACTGAGAGTGAGTGAGAGGGTGAGAGTGGTAGAGGAGGAGAGTAGGAAG